GGGTAAAGTGTGACAGGTTCCCGTGCCCAGATGTGACAGGTGTGCTGCACAGGTGTGACAGGTGTCCCCACAGCTGTGACAGGGGCCCACTCCCACGTGTGACAGGTGTGACAGGTGCCCACTCCCAGCTGTGACAGGTGTGAGCGTTACCCACTCCCAGGTGTGACAGGTACCCACTCCCAGCTGTGACAGGTGCCCACTCCCAGGTGTGGCAAGTGTGACAGGTGTGACAGGTGCCCACTCCCAGGTGTGACAGGTGTGACAGGTACCCACTCCCAGGTGTGACAGGTGTGAGCAGTGCCCACTCCAGGTGTGTGCTGCAGGTACTGCCGGCTGCGGAACTGGAACACGCTGTTCGTGTGTGGCACCGATGAATACGGCACGGCCACGGAGACGCGGGCGCTGGAGGAGGGGCTGAGCCCGCAGGAGCTCTGTGACCGCTACCACGCCGTGCACGCCGACGTCTACGCCTGGTTCCGCATCTCCTTCGACCACTTTGGCCGCACCACCACGCCCCAGCAGACCAGGTGAGCCCCAGGAGCTCAGGTGAGCCCCTGCAGGCCTGGTGAGCCCCAAGAGACCAGGTGACCCCCTCCAGACCAGGTCGCTTGACCAGGTGAGGTCACCTCCAGACCAGGTGAGCCCCTACAGGCCAGGTGAGGCCCAGGAGCTCAGGTGAGCCCCTACAGGCCAGGTGAGGCCCAGGAGCTCAGGTGAGCCCCTGCAGGCCAGGTGAGGCCCAGGAGCTCAGGTGAGCCCCTGCAGGCCAGGTGAGCCCCAAGAGACCAGGTGAGCCCCACCTGTGCCAGGGGTACCCGTGGCTAACGTGGCCTGCCTTTCCCTGGCCAGGATTGCCCAGGACATCTTCCAGCGGCTGCTGGCGCGGGGGTTCCTGCTGCAGGACACGCTGGAGCAGCTCAGGTGTGAGAGCTGTGGGCGGTACCTGGCTGATCGCTTCGTGGAGGGCACCTGCCCCTTCTGTGGCTATGCCGAGGCTCGTGGGGACCAGTGTGACAAGTGTGGGAAGCTCATCAACGCCGTGGAGCTCAAGGTGGGGCAGCCCCTGTGGACTCCCCCACTTCCCCTTCCCTTTGGGGACCTCCCTGACTCACCCGGAGCCTTCCCCTCCCACTTTCAGTAACACCCCTCACCCCACCTTTGGGGACCCCCCGCTCCACTTTTGGGGATCTCCCCATAATGCTGGGGACCCCGTTTTCCCTCAGAACCCCCAGTGCAAGCTCTGCCGTGGTACCCCGGTGGTGACGCCCACCCAGCACCTGTTCCTGGACCTGCCCAAGGTAAGCTGCACCCCTGGGGGAGCAGTGAAGTGGGGACAGGGCCCCCCAGGTACCCCAAGTGTCCCACCCGTGTCCCTCACAGCTAGAGGGGCAGCTGGAGGCCTGGCTGGAGCGCAGCTGGGCCTCAGGTGACTGGACGGCCAACGCGCGGCACATCACGCGCACCTGGCTGCGGGACGGGCTCAAACCGCGCTGCATCACCCGCGACCTCACCTGGGGCACCCCAGTGCCCCTCGACGGCTTCCGTGACAAGGTGGGTCCCCCCTGGCCCCAGGTGCGCTGCTGGGCCCCTGCTGGGCCCTCTCTGCTGGACTCACCTGCTCAGGTGTCATCCTCACCCAGGTGTTCTATGTGTGGTTCGACGCTCCCATCGGGTACCTGTCCATCACAGCCAACTACACTGAGCAGTGGGAGCGGTGGTGGAAGAACCCCCAGCAGGTAGGAGGAGGCGAGTGATGGTGCAGGTGGGGACAGGGCAAGACACTCCTCTGGCATCTCCACCTGTCCCCTTCACCTGCCAGGTGGAGCTCTACAACTTCATGGCCAAGGACAACGTCCCCTTCCACAGCGTCGTGTTCCCCTGCTCGCTGCTGGGCGCCGATGACAACTACACCCTGGTGAATCACCTCATCGCCACAGGTACGGGCACAGGTGTGGGGATCCCCAGGTGCGAGGGAGGGTCCCCAGGTGCGAGGGAGGGTCCCCAGGTGCGAGGGTCCACGCTCCCCCTGCTCTGTGCCTGGGAGGAGCCAGCTCCCCATGGCAGGTGCTCACCTGTCCCCAGAGTACCTGAACTACGAGGATGGGAAATTCTCCAAGAGCCGGGGTGTGGGTGTGTTTGGGGACATGGCCAAGGACACCGGGATCCCTGCCGACGTCTGGCGCTTCTACCTGCTGTACCTGCGGCCCGAGGGCCAGGACAGCGCCTTCTCCTGGGCCGACCTCCTGCTCAAGAACAACTCAGAGCTGCTCAACAACCTGGGCAACTTCATCAACAGGTGTGGGGACACCTGGGGGGAGGGGGGCTGGTCCATAACTGTGTTCACACCTGTCCCTAACCTGTCCCCAGGCTGTGCTCACATTTGTCCCCAACCTGTCCCCAGGCTGTGCTCACATTTGTCCCCAACCTGTCCCCAGGGCGTTCTCACAGGGCTGTGCTCACACCTGTCCCCACCCTGTCCCCAGGGCTGGCATGTTCGTGTGCAAGTTCTTCGCGGGTACCGTGCCCGACATGGTGCTCACAGCTGAGGACCAGCGGCTCCTGGCCCGGCTCACCTTGGAGATCTGCCAGTACCACCAGCTGATGGAGAAAGTCCGGTGGGTCCTGAGGGGCTGAAAACGCAGGGAGGGGGGACAGAGCCTCCCCTGCAGGTGCTCAGCCCCACCTGCACCCCCCCTGCCCCCTCAGCATCCGTGACGCGCTCAGGTGCGTGCTCAGCATCTCCCGCCACGGCAACCAGTACATCCAGGTGAACGAGCCTTGGAAGCGCATCAAGGGCGATGAGAGGGACAGGTAGGGATGGATGGGGCACAGAGGGGGCTTGGGGGGATGGGGAGGGGTCATGGATGGGAATTGGGACACCAGAGGGGGTACAGCCACGATTTGAGGGGGTAGAGGGCGATTGG